GTTGTTTAATTTGATTAACATTTTATTAATTTATTATAATTTTTTAAATAATTAATTATTATGTTTAAAAATATTAATTTATAAGTTAATTTTAATTTATTAAATAATAAATATTAATTATTTTATTAATTATTAATTATTAATAATAATTAAATTAAACAAACTTATATAACTTTGATATTATGAGGCATCACCATAACCACACTGGTGCAAAACAAACACTTAAGTCGACTGGTGTTGGTCGATGATTGGCTAACGTATAATATGGTTGTGAGAGAGATATTTGTTGAAAAATCTAGATTAATGTTTTAAAATAAAGTAAAAGTAGAAATTACTTGTTATATATAAAGTTTATACAAATAATATTTTTAATTTATATGTTAAACTGAACTAAATAACATTTACATGACATTAACAAAAAGCAGAACCCCCAAATCCATCTTTTAAAAAGATGGATAGGAATAGATTTACCTTTTAAAAAAATAGAAGGACGAATTGTCTTTTCAAATTATAAATTAAAACAAATCACATAACTTTTAACAAAAATTGTCAACTTTTTGTTAAAAAATACTTATGTAATAAACAGAATCCGTTAAAAAATAAGTGATTTGTTTTGATTTATAATTTGAAGAAACAATTTATCTTTGTATTTTTTTAAAGAATGGATATGTCCCATACTTATCTTTTTAAGGGAGGGGATTTGGGGTTTTGCCTTAGCAAAATAATGTGTAACACTAACTAGATTGCACAACAAGAGTATTAATATATCTATTCTATATTTATTCTCATTGCATTAACAACCCTTAGTAAGCTGACAATATGCATTAAATACCTTGATCTATACTAAAATTTGAGTTCTTGTTGAGACAGTCATAATATTTTCTCCTTCCTCTCAAAATTTCCCCCTTTTTTTTTTTTTTTTAATAAAAGAATTATATATGTTAGACCAACAATGATTGCCTTATTAAGGAGACAATGTATGTGATGATTGATCATCAACGTAGAGTTAATTAGTATAAGTGTTTTATAAATTTATATTAATATTAGTTGATCTCACTCCAAATATAATTGGTAGTTGATATTTGAAGGGCATTTTTTTTTCAAAAAAGTAAAAATTAGAATGTATTTATTTTTAAAATATCAATATTATTAATAAAATTGTTTAAATATTTTAATGAATCTTTTTAGTATATTAATTATTAAAAATATTTAAATCTTATAATTATCATTTCTAATATTTAAGTTGTCAAAATATCTTAATTTTTCACAACCCCTTATTATTTATAATGTAAATATTTTTATTTTTAATTAATTTAAATTTCAAATTACCAACTACTAACCACAAACTTTTTTATGCCAAACCCTCTGTTAGAACTTAAGAATAACTATTGTTATTATTATTAATATTTTAGCCATTTATATTAGTTGAATTATAAAAATTTAAGTTAAAACAAAAGGAAAATAAAAGAGTAGCGGTAAATTAATACTATCTATTTCTGCTTATAAAAACAAAAGGAGAAAAAGCGCTATTTCTACATTTTTTTTCTCCATCTGTGAATCTCTCTTCCCATCTAGCTAGGCTTTAGCTGTCTTTGAATCCCAGACCTTTGGACTATTTATTTTTATTCAAAATTTTGA